ATTTTTGTTTTCTCGGAAACATTAAGAATTAAATTCAAATTTTAATGGCTTAAATTTTAATCATCTTGTGGTTGACACTTTTTTCTTTCCCTCTCTCTTCATTAAATATAATCTTATAAATTAATGAATTAAAAGTATATTCATTTTGTCCGGATATTTCTATATGTTTATTACAGATAATATTGCAAGTATTAATGATTACATAAATGTTTACTATCAAATAACTTTATTTAAAAATTAAAAAAAATAGAAAATAAAAAATTGATGAAGAAATTCGGCAATTATTATTATTTTTTTCCCACTACTTTGTCTTTTCTTTTCTCTTCTCTTTCTCTCTCTCTTTCTTCCCCTTTTCCCAATTAACTTTTAACTATAAACGATATAATCATGATATAATTTCATATTCTAATGGATCCGGTATTATTAGTACCGGATATGGACAAAAAAAAAAAACAGCATTATGATTAAAATTAGGTTGTATCCCTTTGATAAGTTAAGAAAAAAAAATGATTAATGATTGCAACTGTTTGTCAGCAATGCATGTCTCTTTGCAAATTAATCAATCAATCGATATTGGCTTAAAAGGATGGAGAGGAACGTTTAAATTTTAATATTTTATTTCCACTTAACATTTATTTTTTGAAAAAAAAAGTACAATAAAAAAAGAATTTATAAACAAATAACAAAGGAAAGCATTTCTTTTTTTTGTTACTTTTAAATTTGAGAATTATTTAAAACTGTTGTCACCGATTTCCTTCAATTGTGACATAAAACTGAGGGTTCTTTCTGCCTCTTTAGTTGGTAATACCTCAAATTTGGGTAATTAAATCTTTATTCCTATGAGTTGGTTAATACAGAAACGAATTCAGCAATTACAATATCAATAAGACAAATACAATGACAATATACGATATCAATAAGAGCAAAAGGGGAGACCATAGATCAAATGATGCCACGATATCCTCTGAACCAACTGACCTGTTGGAACGTGTTTTTTCGAAATGATTTGGCGCTCAGGATCTTCTTCTTCCTCGAACAGGATGGATCATGGTATATAGTTGTGAGGCCAATTCTGAGGTCATTTCAGGTGGTCAAAAGAATTATTATTGTTAGTGAATATAAAACACAATGGATGCATATTAGCTTACATTCCATTTCCAGTATATCTACATATACAGTACACTATAGCAACAGTATCAAAGCAATTATTGATTCATTGCTTCTCCTCGTGATTTCTGCAACAATTGTAATTCACAATGCGTTTGATATAATAATTTTGTTTTGTGTATAAAATACCAAAAAATCTTTGGAGATAATTTCATAATGAATTATTTTATTAATTTTATATTTACAAAAAAAAGGAATATCATTCTATTTCACTTAAAAAAAAAGAGAAAAGAAAAAATAAATTATTCATATATTTAGAAATCTTAATGATAAATACATGTCAACATCGAAAGGCTTCAAAGACATTGCTTGTGTTTAAAAAATCTATTTGCTATCCATTTTTTTTTAAATAAAAAATGGATAATAATATCATTAAATAAAATTTTGGTGTAATTTTTAAAATAAAAATGCAAATAAATTTAAAGCTGAACTGTGAATTAAATTCAATATCAAATATTTAATTCATAAGTAAAACATAAAACAGCATGTTAAAACTATCTTTTTTTCTTTTACAAAAATGATTACGAAATATTTCAATGAAATCACAAATAAATTATGAATTATACTGCAAAATGAAAAGTAAATGTAAGCAGAAGTCAAAAATAGACATTTATTTCGAATATATATCATTTATATAAAGTTTATTTCAGTAATTCAATTTTGAATATATCAGTAATTGCAAAAAATGTACGAAGATTTTAAACATAATTTGAAGATGAATAATGATTAAATGACTGATATTTAATCATATCACATTATACATATATTTATACTGCATTGCATTTGAAAAGATCCAAGAAGCCATTTTTAAAGATAAACTGATCCTGCGCGACCACGACCACCACCAGCAGCACTAACACTTCTAGTACCACCACTACTACCACCACCTGGACTATCAGGACGACCACTCTGACCTGAAATTTTTCTAGAATTATTTAAGGTGGAAAAAAAGGTTTTTTATATTTTACGCAACTAATGTAAAACAATAAGTAAATAAATGTACGTATTAAAATTGGTATTTGAAAAATTTTTATCAAGCAATTATTTGAATTAAAATTTCACCCATTACAAATTCTTCTCCCATAGCTGCCTACTTTTTCTTTTTTTGATCGTCCTTTTTTCATTTTAGTTCACTACTTCTCCTTTCATATTGCTTTAGTAAATTAAAATTAAAAGTTTAAAACAAATAATTATATACATATGTTGTTTGATCATTAATCAGATAACTTCGAGAGGTCGAAGGAAGTAAGAATAAGTTTTTTTGCCATAAAATGGTAATTTATAAAAAACTTCATTGAATTTATATTTTACCACATTCTTATGTTGTCCAATTGAATAAATCATTGAAAATTTTGTAAAAATTTTAAAGAATATTTTTAAAAGTCTAAATTTTTAAATTATCATATATTAATAATATTTGCATACATACCAAGTTGATCGGCGGTATTTCCAAATGCAAAGCTAATATTTTTAGCTTTACCGGTACCGGGACTAGAACTAGTCATATATGCACTGGTTAAACCACCAGAACTAGCACCCGGACAATACAGTGAAAATTCCTTTATTCCACCATCAGCAGCAAAAGTAACACCATCACTTCCTTTCACTTCAGCTGTTGGTCCACCTTCAGCTAACATAGCTGATAAATACTTTTCAACTTCAATATCAGCACCGGTATGACTTAGTATACCATCTGCAGCAACACTAATTGGAGTTTGGGCACCACTAACATCGCTAGGAATAGATGTTTTGATGCTACTAGCACCACCAGAAATAGGACTTGTAGTACGACTTTCACCGGTGGCAGCTAAAGTCTTAATACCATCAGTACCACTAGTAGCAGGACTTTTAATACGGCTAGCACCAGTAGCAGCCGAACTTTTAACACCACGAGCACCGCTAGTAGCAGGACTTGTAATACGGCTAGCACCAGTAGCAGCCGAACTTTTAACACCACCAGCACCGCTAGTAGCAGGACTTGAAACACGGCTAGTACCGGTAGCAGCCGAACTTTTAACA